GGTTACAGTAAGTTGCACAGGGACCACCTCATACCCTCAAAGACCTGAGGATCGCCCACTAGGTCCTATATTCCAAAGGTCCCATCATCTAGAATATTGTTCCCTGGGGACCAAGCTGACCTTTGGGAGACACTCAAACCACATCCAGTGACAGCAGAATTTAAGAAAGAGAAGAAACAAAATGGTAGAACAAAGGTTTAAAGAGATAATAGCACAGAATTTTCCAAAAATTGTGAAAAATATCAAACCATACGTCCAGGGAAACTCAGGAAACCCTCAAAATGATGAAATATATACATATAATATTCCGTCAAGCACCAAAGATAAAGAGAAAATCTTAAGGGCAGCTAAAGTTAAAAAAAAAGAGAGACATATTCTATGCAGAGGAATTAACAGAGTCTGGTCACAAATTATGCAGTCCAGAAGACAATGGAGTGGCAGGTTGGCTGTGCAAGGGACAGTGTCTTGAACTTACATTCTGGTAGTTCACCTTTGTCATGGTTTGTGTTTAGATGTCCCCCTAAAAGCCTTGTGGAGTCATAAGTGGGACTTTTCAGAGGTGGTTGGATCTGGAGTGTGTGATGGTGGGATTAAGGATGTGATGCTGGGATTAATTCATGGTGTGATGCTATGAATAAGGGTGCCCCACCCTGGCTGTGAGTACTACCTACCCTAAGAGTAGCCTGGATAGCATATAATGGACAGGGAGAGAGCTTCTGTTGTCACTGCTTGTTGCTTGTGGCTTTTTTGCTTGCTGCCTTGCTGCCTTCTGCTTGCCATGAACTGTTTCTCTGCCATGCCACCCTGCCTTGGCACCGGCCAACTATGAACTAAAATCTCTACAAACTGTGAGCTAAATAAACCTTCCTTTCTTTAACTTTGAGTATCAGGAATTTTGTCTCAGCAACGAGAAAAGTAACTAACACAACCCTTGAGATTCATCTTTCCTTGGGGATTATCCACTAGTTATTGACCTCTTGTAACAGAAATGAATGGCTAGTTTTCTCACAATGTCTTGGCCCACATGTGGACATTAACCCACCCTTTAATTTACCTCAGCTGGGTTAAATCACGGGACCATTCAGCAATGGCTAGTAAGATTTATTCAAGTCCTGGGAAGAGCAGATGGAAATTACACACAGGTGCTACTGCAGACTCAGCAGGGTAAGGCCTTTGGTCACTTTCTATGATGAATCATGATTAGTCTAGGCAAGGTCTGCAAATGCTTTCTGTAGAAGGCCAAATACTGTACTAAAAATGTTATCCTGTTGGGCCACATACGGCCTCTGTGATGTTGCTGCTTTTTCTTCTACAATCCTTTAAAAATGTAAAAAAACAAGCTGGATGTGGTGGCACAACATGTATTCCCAGCATTTGAGAGGCTGAGGCAGGAAAATCTCCATGAGTTTGAGGCCAGCCTGGGCTACATAATGAGTTCAAAGCCAGGCCAAACTACATAGTAAGACCCTGTCTCAAAAAACAAAACAAAAACATTCTTAGCTTGTGGGCTGAACAAAACAAGTAATGGGCTGGATTTGGTCTATGAACCTTAATTTACTAACTACAGCTTGAGACTCTTCTTTTTGGCTAGTGAGTGATTTAAGAAGTCACATGGTCCAGGTTTCCCAGTGCATAATGATGAAAAATCTGGGAACAAGTTTAACTTGCTGTTAAAGAGGTGCATGGAAAGAATGCCCTTCCCCTTCTGCTCTTTGTAGTGTGTGTGATAACAGGTGGCCACATTGAGAAAGCAAGCCCAGGAACAATGGCAGAGCCTGAAGACAGTGGCATGGAAAGGAGGAATTAGCTAGGGTTTTTGATGACATCTTCAAAGAATTACTCTAGAAAGCTGTGATACAAAATAAGAGAAGAAAACAACAGTTTTATACTATTTATTTTATAAAGGTGGTTATGAGACACATGAAATACTTTTCCTTTGACTTCCTGGCTTGCAGTGGAAAGCAGCCTCATTACTATAAACACTAAGTACCATCTATGTAGCAGTTAGCTTTGTGGGTGGCTTTGTGAGTTCACAGGCTGAAGGCCAAGGTGCCAGCTCTAGAATTTTTGTATTAGAGGAACAAAGAATGGCAATTTGATTGGATAAGGAGGTTAATGTTGTATGGGCATAACAATTTACTTAAGACTAGGGGTTTTCTATAGCAAAGAGACAGGTATTTTCATAGAGATTTTGAGATGCTGATGTATGCACCTTCTACCATGCTGCAACTGTACAGGTCCAAATGCAAGAGGTATTCATGGTCATCTCTTGTAGTAGTTTGGTTTTCGTTTTTGTTTTTTGTTGGTTTTTTTTTTTTGGTACTGGGGATCGAACTCAGGACCTTGTGCTTGCCAGGCAGGTGTGGTGTCTTGTGGTAGTTTGGATCAGCTCTCTCCATTCCTTATTCCCTCTTGGTACTGGAATTATTCCTCTAAACCCTTTGCCATGGATCTTTGCAGTACCTCTCACTCCAGTAGAAAGAATGTATTTCTTCCACCTCATTAATGTTAGGTTTGTTTAAATTAATGTAATGTGGGCAGAAGTGACAGTGTGCCAGTTGTTTTGGGGTGAGGTAAAAAGGACATCATGTTTCCATTCAATATCCTTGTGTTCCCATGACCCACTAGATAAAGGAGCATGCCCCAGACAGTTCATGCTGTCAGTTTGACACCAGAGCTAAGATCTATGGAACAGATGGGAACCCAACCATTTGCTGGCCTTGCTGAGCTCCTCCAAATCTGTGAACCCCTGCCCATTCAGGAACCCTTACAGGTTATGAAAAAATTCAAGATATTTTATAATTTAAAAATTGTCTATTCTATCTAATTTTTAGGCTAAGGGCAGATGTCTTCCTATTGGGAAAAAGGATGGGCACTATCCTTGAAACAATTTGCGGCTGGGTCCAAAAAAACAAGGCCTAGAGTGAGTGCTTTCTCCTCTCAGTTCCAGCCCTTCTTTCTCAAGACAAGGGTGTTCAGGATGACTGACATTATCAGATATCTATTTCCTCCTAGGGAAACCCCATCCCTAACCATAAGAATGTTATATTTCCCACAAGACAAGAACACCAGAACATTACAGGGCAGCGACAGCAAAACTTTTAGAGACCGAGTGTCCAAACTGCAATCCAAAACCCACTTACTTATCGCAAAGTGCTAATCCTGCAATTAAACCTGAATACTGAGGTTTTATTTTAGAAAAAAAAATTCATACATTAATATCTTTTGTCTTTTTTTTGGAAAGTTTTAAAAGTTTATTTTATGAAAAAATAAAATTTCATAACAAAATGAGAACAATAGTTAATTCAGAATGTGTTATTGTCTTCAAAGTAATAACTCAGAATAGAAGACAGAAAAAATTCTTAAAGAAACTAACAGCTAATAGCATGAAACTTTCTTTTTGATGAACTAAAAGAAACTATTAGCATAAATGAAATAAATTAGCATATATCGAAATATTTTTGAAATAACAAAATAGGTAATTTGAGGAATTATTTGAACCTCTCCCTATTTCCTATTTATCTATCTTCTATTTTGCTTTTTGTGTGCACATATATATTTTCTCATATAAGAGCAAACATGTGATATTTAATCTTGTGTGTCTTACTTATTTCACTTAACATTATGTTCTCAAGTTGCATCCATTTACTGACAAATTCTTATCCTTCTTTATGCAGAGCAGTACTCCATTGTATATAAATACCGCATTTTCCTTATCCATTGATCTGTTGGTGGACATATATACTGCTTCCAAGACTTAGCTATTATAAATTGTGCTGCTATAAACATAAGTAGGCATGTATTCCTGTAATATGTTGATTTTAACTCTTTTGGGAAGATACATAGAAGGGGGATAGCTGGGTCAAATGGAATTTTTATTTTTAGTGTTTTTGAAGAATCTCCACATTGATTTCCATAGCAGTTGTACAAGTTTACATTCCTACCAGCAATGCAGTAGAGTTATTTTCCCCCCACATCCTCATCAGCATATATTAAATTTTTTGATGACAGGCCATTCTTTCTGGGGTAAGAAAAGTATCTCAGTGTAGTTTTTTTTTATCTCAGTGTAGTTTTAATCTTCATTTCTTTAATGGTCAGCAATGTTGAACATTTTTTCATGTTATTTATTGGCTACTTGTACTTCTGAGACATGTCTATTCATTTCAGTTGCCCATTTTATGACTGGATCTTTTGTTTTGGGGAGTCTATGTTTTTTTGTGTGTGTGTGCTGGGGATCGAACTTGGGACCTTGCGCTTGCGAGGCAGGCGCCGGAACCACTGAGCTAAATCCCCAGGCCGGAGTCTATTTTTTTTGAATTCCCAATATCTTGTCTTAAAAGAAAAACAGTAACAGAGCTTTCAAACATACAAATAGCTTTTTATTGAAAGGTAAAAGTTTGCATTTGGCATGCTTTTGCACAATTACTGTGATCTTTGCTGTTGTATGCATACCGATAAATTTGTCAAATCTTGGCTCATCCTTCATTAGTTTGAAAGTAACACATGCAGCACTCAAGTCATCTGATAGTGCTGTCTGGTGCTGCTACTCTTTCCTGAGCAGGCACATGGCCCCTATGTGTAGTGTTTTCTGGTGCTCAGCTGCTGGGGCAATGTTAGGGTGACTTGGCTCAGTTGCTGACAGAGAGGACTCTGCATGCCTGCTGTGGCACTTGAGCCATAGGTTTGCCACCACTGTTACAGGGGATCTTCCAGGAAACAAATAGAGGCAACTTTTAAGAGGGGAAGAAATCTTAATGCCAGAGGAACAGTAAATGAAACTCCTGCCACTAATAGATGATTTTAGTGGTTATTTTATTTTGGGGAGTTTTATATTATAATATTATATACCACGGGGGGGGGCACTTCTGTTTGTTCAAAGTGATACCAGTCTATATTCTCTTATACAAAACCCTTAAGCATACACCCAGGAAAAACCCCTTAGGTCTAAATATATTTTGGAATAAAGGATATTTTGGATTTTGAAGAAGTATATGCAAAAATTATTTTTAAAACTTTTATTTTTCTTTTAAAAGCAACTTCAGCCCATCACATAACGCATGTTTGTAGGGAACTTAGTATTTTTTTAAAAATTAAAAAAGCAAGTTTAATGTGCTGTAATTTATATATAATAAAATGAACCCATACTAATTTTCTCAATGAGCCCGAGGCCTTGTACAGCCACCACCATAATCAAGGTTGAGACCATTTCCACCAGGCAGGGGCAGTGGGACACACCAGTAGTCCCAACTGTTTGGGAGGAAGAGGCAGGAGGATCAGTTGAGCCCTGGAGTTTGAGACAAGCTGGAATAATACAGCAAGACCCTGCATGAAAAAGAGAGAAGAGAAGAGAAGGGAAGGGGAGGGGAGGGGAGGAGAGGGGAGGGAAGGAGAGGTGAAAGGACAAAACAGAAAAACCAAAAACCAAAATCCCAATCAAAACAACAAAAAACATTCCCATCACATTAGAAAGTTCCTTGCAACTCCCATGGTCATAATCAAACTCCATAAATACATCCATATTTCTGAATGTGGATACTGACATCAAGTGGAATACATAAATAATATTATTGCCTTATGTCACAATGGGCCAGGTTTGCCTAAGTGAGCTCGCCAGAAGCTTCCAGCAACTTTTCAGTTTTCAAAACTTTTTGGATTTTGAAATTGTTGATAAGGGATTATGGGCCTGTTGTAAAAAACTGCATGATAATGAAAAAGAAGTAAAGGTGAAAATTACTTTTGCATATATCTGATGCTGCTTGTATTGAGAAATCTTGGACTTCCAGTAAATGAATTTATGAACAAAGGAACTTAGGAATAATCTTTTGGAAACTAACCTATTTAAGACAATTTTATTAACTAGTCCATGCTTTGTACCTAGCAATATATAGGGCCCAGTAATGTATTTTGGTTTGCTTTGTAATAATTCTCTTACCTTCTCCATATTCCTGTCTTTAAAATGAATAGGTCAGTTCCACAGCCACACCAGCCATATGGGAGTTTCTTAATCACCACATATGGCCAAAGTCACCAGACTAGCTAGTAGGGAACAGGCCCGCCACAATGGGAGGCAGATGCAGGTGCTCTGTCGTGTTCACCACTTTATTCCCAATGCCATACACATTACTTGGAATCCAGTAGATGATCAATGAATACTTGCTGAACATTTTTAGTTCGTTTGGAAAAGGCATCATGCAAATGTAAAACAAAGATTCTCTTATGAAAAACAGTACAGATGTTGTGTGAAAGAAAAAAGATTATATTTTAAACGTAGCTTTCTTAATAGTTTTCTACGACTGAGTGCTTACCGTACTATACACCAGACACTGTTGTGTTTTATACATATTACCTTGTTAATTGCTACAACAGCTTTATGGTATATGTACTATTCCAAATTTACAGATGAAGCCACCAAAGGAGAGCAACTTGCCTAAGTTCTTATAGCTATTAATTTGCAGGGACAGCAGTTTGACCCACAGGCCAAGACAACCTGAACTTGTATGATTATTTTTAATTAGAACCAGTTAGTCTCTTTTCCCAGTATTGATACTTTTTTTGGTGGAACTAGGGATTGAACTCAGAGCTTTTGCACTGAGTTATATCCTCAGCCGCCTCGCCCCCCTTTTTTTTGTGGTACCAGGGATCAAACTCTGGACCTTCCACTTTTGAGGCAGGCAGTGACACTACTGAGCTAAATCCCCAGCCCTCTCAGCCCTTTTTTTTTAAAAAATTCTTTTGTAAGTTGCTCAGGCTGGTCTCCAACTTGCAATCGACCTGCCTCAACCTCACAGAGTCCTGGGATTACAGGTGTTTGCCACCACACGTGGCTCTTTTATTTCTTTTTTCTTATTTAATTAATTTAGTTTGGACACCCTGAAAAAATGTTAAATAATAGCTGGTCTATCTCTCCATTTTTGTTAGGTGCCTGACAAAACCTCTAGTCAAAATGGAAATGCCTCTGTCATTTCACTATGAAGTATAATTATGCTTTTTTGGGGGTGATTGTCTCAATTAAGAAAATACTTTTATTAATTTACAAAAAATTTTAGGGCCGGGGATTTAGCTCAGCAGCGTCTTGCCTGCCTCACAAGCCCAAGGTCCTGAGTCTGATCCCCAGTACAAAAAATAAATAAATAAATAAAATTTAAAAATTGAAAATTGTTGTTGACATCTATAATCTATCTCTAGAGACTATCATTTGGTTTTTCTCCTTTCATAAATTACAAGTAGATTTTCAAATATTAAACTACCATTCTTGGAGTAAACCATACTTTATCATAGTGTGAATTAGTACCATATTCCTGGATTTGATAAAATTTTAATACTATTATTTTGTCTTTGTAACAAAATCATGGTGTGAATGCAAGAGTTTTCCCTTTTTTTGGGTATAGTCTTGGGTTTTTGGTATCAGAATTAAACTAGCCTTTTGTGAAAAAAACAGAGAGGGTTGGGGATTTAGCTCAGTGGTTTCGCTGCCTGCTGGGTAAGCACAAGGACCTGAGTTTGATCCCCCGTACCAAAACAATAACAACAACAACAAAAACAGAGAAACTCTCTCCCTCTTAGGAGACTCTTTGTCTCCCTACAAATCCAGCTGGATTTGGGTATACTCTCTCTTTTTCCTTCCAGAAGGATCCACAGTATCACTGATCATTTGATCCTGAGGATTTCTTACACAAGTCCTCAATACTTCTCCCAGACTGGGCTCACACTACTTGATCCACAGCAAAACCTGTGTGCATCATTCTGCATTCTCACCGCCTCGCACACACCAGACTGTCAGCTGCCAAGGCTCTGCTAACTAACTGGCACTACTGAGTTTGGTTGGGAGGTCCCGGAGGGCCCAGCAAAATTTAACATGGGAGGCGGAGACAGATGCTTCTCATTTAATTTACCCTTAGAATCCTAGAAAGCTGTTATTTTTACTCTGTAGATGGGGGAAAAAAACTTCAACTTTATACACTCGTAGGTGGAGGCGCCAGAATTTAAAACCAGGACGACTGGATCCCAAAGTGATTGCTGTTTCCACAGCGACCGGAGCCTCTCTCTTCCGAACACTCTACTCCCCGCTGTCTGTCAAGCGGACCCACACGACCCGCGTTAGCATTTAGAACCGTGCCTCGGGGCTCTACCTTTACTCTTCGGTATTTTTCTATTTGTTCACCTGTGTAGTTCATCTCACACAGAATTCACTTAGTGTGAACTCCATATTTAGTGTCTTTAGTGTCGACTCCATATAGCATTATAAGTAGTGGGAAAATACAAGAAAGGGTAACTAAATACAACAATTTTGATTGTGTTAGTCTTAAGTGTAAGCTATATTGCAAGACAAAATACAGAAAGTACATCTCAAAATAAGTTTTTAACTCTGTGTGGGCTCTCAGAGGCTGTCAAGCGACTTTCACAAAAAGGGTCTAAAACAGGAAGAGATTTAGCATTTGTAAATATTGATCCTTTCCTCACCCGGGCACATCCAAGAATGGGGTGGATACTGGAAATCGCGTTTCTAGCAGAGTTTGCGACAAGGAGAGCGCGCTGTTCTGGACCAGACGCGCGCCAGGCGTCCCCCGCACTTCTGCTGATGGAACCTTTCGAGCCGGCTTTGACTGGGCGCCTCTCAAGTCAGGTGACCCGAGAGCGCTAGCGGAGCCGGGCGGAAGGACGCGAGCGCGCGTTTCCAGGGGCAGGGCGAAGCCTCGGAAGGGGCGGGGCGGGAACCGGGGCCCGCGGGCGAAGAGGGCGTGGCCGCGGGCGGGGCGGGCCCGGCGTATTATGGGATGCGGTGGCGGAATGGCGCAGGGCGCGTGATTTTGAACAAACCCGGGTCTGTGTCTCGGAGGCGCCGCCGCCGCCGCGGCTGCTGGGAGCCCGGGCAGCTTTGCGCGAGGAGGAGGCGGCGGCGCCGCCGGCGTGGGTGAGCGTCGGTCCCGAGAGGGGCTCGTGGGGGGCCGGGTGCGGACTAGGGCGCCGGACGGCTCCTCGGGGGCAGGCTGGGCGGCGGCAGGCGCGGGGACCTCGGCGCGGGGCGGAGCCCGGGCGGCTGTCACCTGTGTCCGCGTCCGGGGAGGGCCCCGCGGTGTGGGCCCGAGGAATTCCGCGCTCGCCGGGTCTGGATCCGGCTCCGCCGCCGGGTCGCGCCCCCGCACCGCCCTCGTCCAACCCTTTGTATGGCTCCGGGCTGCGCGTCCGTGTCCTCGCGGAGCCGCCGGCTACGGTGTCTTCCAGGTGCCTGAGGGCGGCAGCGGGCCGCGGCGATGGTGCACAGCCGAGTGCGGCGCCGTGTGCGGGAAGAAGTTCTCTGGCGAGGACGCCGCGGCCCGCAGGGCTTGGGGACGGCGGGTCCCCCCGACCCGGAGACTGCTGCGGCGGCGTCTTCACTGCCACCGCGCCCTCCCCGACAACTCTTAGCGGAGCCTCCCAGTACTCAGCCTGAGTTTATGCCCCTGTTCCCGCAGGTCGGTAGGGCTGAGGTTGGATGGTGCAGAAGTCAGCTTCTGAGAGGGTGACAATGAAATCCTCAGCTTAGCAGAGGCCCTCCGGGCGGTGTCACCCGGAGCCCTGCCACTCGCGCTCCTGCATGGTCCCAGCCTTTCTGTCTGCGTGGGGCGGGCAACGCGGGCCAGGCCGGGGACTTGTCGGGAAGCAAGTGTTTGTTTTCGCTGTGTGGGACACACCCCCCCCGGGTGTTTCCATTCGGTGCCAGACATCGGTCTGCGATTCAGAAGTTGAGCATTCACGAGTGTTCACCATTGCATCCGTGCATCTTAAACCTAGACGTCCTAACCCATGGCAGATTGGAAGTCGCTGTGTTCACGGACAGAAGTGATCCGATGACATAGTGGCGAGGAATGCAGTTCGGGGCGCTACTTTTAAAAAATGAAAGATCGCGATTACCGTGCCTGCGTGGTACCCGCGCGTGGCCAGCTCCGAGGTGGCGGAGAGGTCGGGCGTGCAGCCCCGCGGGTGGGTGTCACCCCGGCGCTTAGCCTGGATCTCGGGCGTCCTCAGCTCCTCAGAGAACCCTGTGCGCCGAGTCGTCCGCGCCCTGCGCGTGCCCGGCCCGGGAGCGCGCGGCCGGGGGCGGGCGGGCCCGGCTGTTGCGAAGCCGCCGCGCCGCGATGGTGATGACGAGGTGAAAATGGCGGATCTTTCGAAATACAATCCCGGCCCCTGACATACCAGAGGCGGCGGCTGGCGGCGGCCCGCGCGGCGTTCTCGGTCCGGACCTGGGCGCCGGCGGCTTCGCTGGGGAGGGGCGCGGGCCGGGTGGAGCGGCGTCGTCGCCGGGTCGCTGGACCTCGGAGCTGCCCGAGCCCGGAGGACGAGGCGCCGCCAAGGTAGGAGCGCGGGTCCTGGCGACCGCGGGGTCGGGGTGCGGGGCGGGCGCGATGGCGCCCCGGGTCCCGGATGGACTTGTCCGGAGCGCGCAGGATCGGCGGTCTCGTCGTGACATCGACATTACTGTCCGAGTTTGCTCTTGGACCCGAGGCTGCTGCAGAGGCCTAGAGGAGCCGCTAGCACTCAGCATGATTTCCTGATGGAATATCTGAAATACACACTCTGCCCAGGCTTGGGTGGGTCCTGGTCAGCAGTTTGCCAGGTTGTGATCTTTCTTTAGGGAGATAGGGCAGGAGTATTTTCTTCTGCATTTAAAGTCTGGCTTCTGTAACTTGTTAGGCTGTGGATGCGCCCATATTTGGGAGTATATGGATCAGTTTTGTAGCCATCGAAAAACAATTTTACTTATTTTAATGGCCCTGTCATCTGTAGAGTAACCCCTGTGGCTCTACCCTTTGACAAATAACAACTGAGATACTCTCAGCCCTATTTTATGCCCATGTTTTTCAAGGAAGTTCTTTCCTGCCCCCATTCAATTCCATAAATTCAGAGTAAAGTTATGGATGATTTTACAGTCGATTTTATAATCCAAGTGTGGGAACTGTATTTTGGTCGTGAGTTTTACCTTCATTGGTAAGCAGAATTGGGACGGCTTGATGGTGAGCGTTGGTTGTGAGCACATTCAGTTGGTAAAGATAAAGTGAAACCTCTCTTGCTTTCTAAATGCAGCACTTTTTATCCCCTTTGTTCAAAGAGCAAGAGAATCGGATTGGCCGACTTGATGATTGATGGTCCTGGCTTACTTGGGTTGGGTTACCTCAGGTCCGCATATGTTTTAGGTTGTGCTGTAGGATCCCTAAGCAGTCTGTCTCCTTGTATAGGACAGTAATGCTACTGAAAGGTTACATGTGAGTCACATTTTTATACATTAATTTGGGGCCCTTTTTCCCCCCCAGCTTCAGTAGTAGATGGCAGGGTCAGTGATTAATAATCTGTTAATATCTAAGAAATGCTCATTAGCAACATTTATGCCTAGCAGTAAATTTCAATATTCAAGTTGCTTACAAAGAGTGATGTCACAGTATGTCATACAATATCATACATTATATTGTGTGTTTAGAGAGAGATTTTGTGTGGATGTGTATAATTTGACTTTTGGCTTTTACTCAGTGTAAGAATGAGGTACCTGCTGGGTATGGTGGCACACACCTGTAATCCCAGCACTCTGAGAAGCTGAGATGGGAGGACTGCAAGTTCAAGGTCTGCCTGGGCAATTTAGTAATTTAGCAATTTAGCAAGACACTGTCTCAAAATTAAAAAGGGCTGGAGATGTAACTCAGTAGGAAATCCCCAGTATGGGAGGAGGGTGAGGGACCAGAAAAACAATTTTAAAGTAAATACCTGAGAAGTTCTTAAATTATTGTTACTTTAAAAATTAATTTGATGGTATTGTATTATCCTGTAGGATTTTGGTTCTGTTTTTCTTTCATTATAGCTTTCATGCTACAATTGTTTGTCCCATGTTAATCTGAGCACCTTGTAGTAAGAGTAGGGATTTTAAAAATAATTGAGAGGGAATTAAAATGTTTTTTCATTAGCTCTCTTTTAATCATGGAAGGTTATCATTTTGTGGTTCTCTTTAAGACCAGTTTTCAGATTATTGTGATACAAATAGTTGTCTATTAATTAATAATGGTATGTTAGAGATAGAGGAGTTTTGCCCCCCTGTGGGTAGTCTAGTGACACCCCCGTTTTTTGGAGACAAGCATTACTTTTTTTTGAACACTTACAGGTTGAGCATCCCTATCCAAAAATTTGTTATGAAGAAATACTTCTCTCAAAATGTTTCAGAATTTGGAGTATTTTGGATTTTCTGATTAGGGAAGCTTAAATAGTCTAGGCAAATATTCCAAAATCCAGAAAATCTGAAACACTTTTGGTCATTTGAAGCATTATAAATAAGGGGCTGTTCAACTTATTATGAGTCTTGCACTCTACTAGGGATTGGAAGGTAAGGTAACCCCCAGTGTCAGTGCCTCAGGGGCTTTCAGTTTCAGAACTGCTGGAGTTTGTGAAGATTTAAGGAGAGATTGAGTGGCGTCCTACTGGAGAAGGCTTGGAGAGTTAATTTTGGAAAAATGAATTTAGGGAGATAAATCTGGTAGCTTTTATGTGGAATGCTTTGTGGAAGAGAGGGAACGGAGGTAAAGGTACCATAGTGTGTCGCAGACCTTGGAGCTTTGGACACTTTTGGCTGCAGTTGATGGAGTCATTGTGAAGATGCAATGCGCAGGACATCCAACGTGTTATTTCTGCCAGACATGAAGATCATGGGATCTTCAATTCTGGTGTGTGATAGACTACTGAATGCTGTAACAAGAGAGAAATTAAAAAGAAGCGAATTTATTTAGAGAAGCAGAACTTTTGAGTTACAGGCCCTCACAAGTATCTTCACGTGAACCCTAGGTAAACTGAGCCCCTGAGACGTGATGGCTTTGACCAGCGTGGTCAGCAGCTAGGAGAGACAGGATTTGGAAATGGGGCTCCTTGATTTGAATTTCTCTGTTTTTTCCATCAGTATTAATCTGAAGTATGAGGAAAAAAGTTATGAGTCCCCAGCAGTGGCTTACATTATTTTATTAAGGTATTTAATTGTTTAGATGTTATACAAAACCAAGTATGAAGTGAAAGTAAATTGAGCAAAATATAAACAAAACTTTAAAAGCAACAAAAGAAATTGAACTTGGGGTGATGGGTGATGTTACTTTGTTGAAACCACCTTAAATTTTTCTTTGCAGAGTGACTACATTATTGTATGCACAGGTGTACAGTTTTCTGTGTACTATTTTGTCCTGAGATACTTGATTCCTATACCAGCTTTTTGTATTTGAACACGGCAGAGCTTTTCTTCTTAAATCACAAGTTAAATGATTTGGCTTTCATTTGGCATAAATGTTAATTTCCTTTTAAGTCCCTTCTGTTCCTTTTTCTTCCACCTGCCATAATTCTCTTATTGATTTTGGATATGAGATGCTTATCCAGATGATCCAGAGTGTACTTTAAAAATCCAGAGTGTACTTTTTAAAAATGAAAATATAAACCTTTCAAGTCTTCACCAGGCTTATAGTCTGCTGCTGTCAGATTAGTTTATGCAGTTTTATACCTAGTTTTAAATTGTTGATGTTTGATTTTAGAAATCAAAACTGAACTTTAAATGGCATGTAATT